TGAATGCAATGTTCAGATATTACAGAATATTTCAATGAATCACCTCTCAAGTTGCGCTCATGTTCCTTTACTCTTGTGATCAACTTTCTTTTAGTTTGTCCAACATAAGACGAACTGCAATCATTACAATTAATTTTATAAACTATATTATTCTTTTGTCTAGTATCTGTATTGTCCTTATGCACTTTAATAATACTACTAAGTTTATTAATACTCCTCAGTCCTACTGTAAAAACTTCTTTATTTAAATTAGATGTAATGTAATTTGTGATATTTGGAATGAATGGTACAACAAAGAGTTTTTTATTAGGAAGGTCAATACAGTTACTATTATCAGTATGTGTTCCAATAAATTTACATTTACAAATAAATTCAATTCTTCTTTGTATTGTGCTAAAAATTAATTGCAGAGGATAATTATTATTTAATAACGTTACAATGCAGAACTCAATATTCTTAGTATGAAATTCATAATTAGATAGTAGTAATGCTCTATCAACCATGTTATATATGACACCAATCTTCTGTAATAAAGGATGATTTGATAAATAAGATAAACATCTACCAGAAAACGTATCCTTATGATGCCAATCTATTTTTAATTTGTTGTTATCTACTTTTATTGTTAAATCTAAATAATTCAAAGATCTATTATTTTCAATTTCTACCGTAAATTGAAGTCTATTATGAATGTTATTAAAAGTTTCTACGACTTTGTTCACCAAATCTCCAGGAACAGTCATGATAATGTCGTCAACATATCGAAAGTAAAATGAATTATTTAATTGTAAGTTGTTTAAGGCAATTTCCTCCAAATCTTGCATAACAATATGTGCTAATATCGGAGACAATGGAGACCCCATAGGTGTTCCATAAGTTTGTTTGTAAATTTTGTTATTGAAAGTAAAATATGTAGAGTCAAAAATAAAATTAATTGCTTTAATAAATTCATCAAGGGGAATTGTTGTATTCTTATTTATTAATTACCATTTTTTGTTGATACTATCATTAACAAGATCCAAAGGTATGTTAGTGAACATAGATACAACATCTAATGAAATTAAGATCTTAAAAAATAATTGTCTTAAAAAAAATATGATTTTTATTGACGATTTAAAATTTTGTCGCGACATAATAATAAAAATTAAAAAACCCAACAAATTTAAACCTTTGAAAACTAACCGCAACAATTTGATCCTTCCTAAATTAAAACGATTACCTAACCACAAAATAGAAAATCCATTAAATTTCAACCTTTGAAAATTATCCCCAAAAATTTGAACTCTTCTAAATTAAAATAATTATCTAATAATATAACATAATAATTAAAACCTTTAATACTTTAAATGATATTATCTAATATAATATATGACCACGAAAAGTAACTGATATATTACTAAATGTGCCAGTTCAAAGTGAACATACATTATGTTATTTTCTATGTTATGTACCACGAAAAGTAAATGAAAACTACAAAAATTGAACCTTTCAAAATTAAA